TTTATTCTTTCTGAGAAGACCCAAGAGTAGCATTGGACAATTGCTCATATATGCTGAGGGGGCTCATGTGGGTTATTCTATTGTCCAACTTGTCCAGCATGTATGTGAGGCCATCAGAAAAGATAGCGTGCAGTGCCAGATGACTTTCAGCTATATATCCCTGTATTATCAGGTCAGGCTGCTGGAATCTCATTGGCTTACTCAAGTGTTTTGCCAGAATGAGTGCTGAGAGGCACCAGAACTAGCTGCATCTCAGCTCAGACAGGATTGGAGTTATTTTGGTTTGGTGGGAAATAACTGAAATAAATGGCAGAATTGAAACTGTATCCCTCAATTTGGTGGGTTATGTTTTCTTTTTGTGACTCATGTTCTCTTCCTCTGGGATCCCCAGCTAATTCTGGATGCATAGGCAGTGGCCAAGAAAGGTTTTTGTTATTTGCAGCCAGAAGGCTGTGCCCTTCTCTTCAGGTGTAGACCTCACTACAATAACCCATGCTTTTGTCACCTTGAGACTTATAGTAATGTGCTCTCCATGGAGTTAATTTTGAAAATTATTAGTAAGATTTAGCTGATGCAGAATGTAGTAGCCCAATTGTAGAAGAGTGTTTCTTGCAGGAAATACATTCACATGCTCTAAAGGCTGCACTGAATTTCAGCTTATTGCTGGATACCATTAGAAGTGTTGGTTTTAATACATAAATCCATAAATGAGTTGGATGCTGGTTCCCAAGAGACTGTCTCTTTGATATCCTGGCATTTGAGAACATCTTTCATATAAATCCAACAAACTTGATTTATAAAACTTGCCAGTTGAAAATTTCACTTTATTATTTGCCTCAAATGAAGGACCCTAACCTCAGGTTACATAGTGTTGAAATGGGCTGATATGTCTCCTGATAGGGTTCCAGGCTAGCAAGGCAACTTCATTGAAAGAGAGGTTTTGAATATCCAGTTGGATTTCACAAAGAAAAAATTGGAGGCACTGTGCTAAGCAGAGTAAAAGAAAGCAAGTATAACAAATTCAGTCTGAAGATGCTCTCTTTCTACGGCAGGTCACCCTAACGAAAAATAAAACCCTAGTGCAGGGGTAGGCGACCTGCGGCACGCAAGCTGATTTTCAGTGGCACTCACACTGCCCGGGTCCTGGCCACCGGTCTGGGGGGGCTCTGCATTTTAATTTAATTTTAAATGAAGCTTCTTAAACATTTTAAAAACCTTATTTACTTTACATACAACAGTTTAGTTATATATTAGAGACTTATAGAAAGAGACCTTCCAAAAATGTTAAAATGTATTACTGGCATGTGAAACCTTAAATTAGAGTGAATAAATGAAGACTTGGCACACCACTTCTGAAAGGTTGCCGACCTCTGCCCTAGTGTTACCTACTCTTGCAAATTTTATCATGAGTCTCACAATATTTAGTGTTATTCTTAAAGCCTCAGCTCTTAGAGTCATATCATTATGTGAGAAGCTCCGCTTTAATAAAAACAAAACAAGTTTCTAACCTTTTCTGTTGTGGTGAAAAGCTTGAAAATATGACCCAAGTGCACCATAAAGGCTCAGGAACCAGAAGGCAAATAAAAAGAACTCAAAATGCATAATTAAAAAACCCAGAATTCTAAAGCAAATCTCATGGGTTTTAGGGCCTGGCTAATGATTTATGAATGTGTGGTTTTGGCAGTGTTGAAGCCACTACTTTTTAGTGTTTAAGATGCAATGAAATATTTGGAGAAGACATCTGCAGAAGATTAAAATTCACACCAAGATGCTCTCCACTGTGCTTCTTCTCACAACAATCCCATATTTCCACCATGTGGAAGAAAAATGTTTTTGACTGATGTAATGAATAGGAGTTTGGAAAACCAATTAAGCCCCACTAATTTCCCTTGATTAACTTTAAAAAATCATAACTTGCAAGAGTGTCTTTTTTGCCTTGCAAGTTAAGATGAGACACTTAGTATATGTGTCGAAAGAATACAGTAGTAGATAGCGACATAAAACTGAAAACATTCTTGAAGGGAGCTGAGGTGGAAAAAGGTTCACATCTGGTATTTACTCTCTCCTACCAAACCAGAACCACCTTCAACCCTCAGCACAGATAAATGTATGAGAATAAATCTTAGCTATTAACAACCTAGAAAAGTTCTCAATGAAATTTTGGATGAACAATAGTAAGACATTTATATCCACTTTACTTTTCATCATGCAATATTTTCTATTATATACAGTAGATTCTATGTATCTTAACTGAAATTAAATAAAGCAGAGGGACTGGATTATGTTGGAAAGGATTTAACACATGTGCAGACTTTAAACGTGTATGATGGGATTGCTCAAGAATGCGGATATCAGGCAGATTCATCAAAAGATTTGGTTTCAGAGTAGCAGCCGTGTTAGTCTGCATTCGCAAAAAGAAAAGGAGTACTTGTGGCATCTTAGAGACTAATAAATTTATTTGAGCATAAGCTTTCGTGAGCTACAGCTCACTTCACATTTTCCACTGAATGCATCCGATGAAGTGAGCTGTAGCTCACGAAAGCTTATGCTCAAATAAATTTGTTAGTCTCTAAGGTGCCACAAGTACTCCTTTTCTTTTTTCAAAAGATTTGGATAACTCATCAAATCTCTAAAGTACATTTAATGCCTGGGGCTAATAGCACGAATGATGATGGTGAGAGTGATGTCACAGAATAATACATTCTAAGCCATTTTTAGAAAACTTTGACATTTCAATGAATTACTCAGAGTAAAAGACTTATAGAGGACTAATTAATCCTGATATCTCTGCTGAATAACCCTGCAATCAGTTTAGTGGGCACAATCAGCACAGATTTGTGGACTTAACTCAATTTTCATTTTACTCTTGCAGTTTACCTTTGAAAATGAACTGAATCCAACACCTCCAAAGCGTACACAGCCAGGTGGCAGACACACTGCACAATATCAACTCCATGAGTCAACTATTCAGCAAGAATAAAAAATATGAATTTAAAATGAAGCCTCAGATGACACTGTAAATGAAATGAGTTAAAATACAAGCATTCCTGTCTCTTTCTCACTCATGTCTGTGCCTTCCCCAATGCGTGGAACCTTTGACTTGACCTGATCCACCCTTTTCTTCTTCAAGTCCTTTTTTAAAATGCATTTCTTATAAAAGGCCTAAAAATCCTACTCTTCCTCTCTGAGACAGAAAGGTTAATAAAACAGACAACAGAAAGTCTATTAAACAAATAAAAATTGAGGAACAAATAAGTCTGCTAAACTTCACTATTCAATCTTTCTGTTTTTTTCCTGTGTTTTCCATGATGTATCTAAATTGTAAGCACTTTGTATTCAATCCTGTCTGTAAGATGCAAAACATGCTGTTGGAAGTATACAAATAAATAAGTAAAAATTACAATTAATCAGTGGTCTCTGAATATAGGTTAGCAGGTAGGTAAATAGAATTGTCTTTGGATTTCCAGAGATGCTGAGCATCTATAACTGGCACTGAAGGTAGCGAAGGTGAGGGTGCTCAGCATCTCTGGAAATAGGGCTTTAATTCCATGCATCTTTCTGGACTTATGTAAGGGGTTGCACATCAAAATACTCTGACTGCATTTTCACATGCAAATCCATGCAGAAAACGTAGGTTAAATCAACACAGGGCGAACTTTCATGTTTAACCAACTTCCTTAGGTTTTAGCAGCGTAGATCACTATGTTTATGTCTACACTGCAGCTAGGAGTGAGCCTTGCACCCGGGGGTAGACAGACTTACATGAACGGGGTTCAAGCTAACACACTAAATACAGCAGTATGGACATTGTGGCTTGGGCTGGAGCTCATGCTCTGAAGCCTAGGGGGTCAGGTGGGCTTGACAGCCCAAGGTCCAGTCCAACCTGCAATGTCCGTACCTGCTATTTTTAGTGGGTAGCTCAAGCCCTGCTCACATGAGTCTACCCAGGCTGGGAAGCTTGCTCCAAGTTGCCATGTAGACATACCTTATGAGGGCTACAGGGCATTTTTTCAACCCGATTAAAATGTAGTTAGACCCACCCATGCTGGCAAGCCAAGCTGTTGTATAGTCTGGTTCAGCCTCAACCATTTTTATACCAAGTTTAAACAGTTGTCAAACATTTTCATTTGCCCTCTGCAAAATTTTCCTTTCTGATCTTTCAAATCTCCACCAATAAATAGAGTTAATTCTACTTCATTCCTCCATCCTTTTGTGAGTCTTGCTTATTTGGATTGTAAAAACTCTTAAAGACAGCAACAGTAGCTATATGTTTGTACCATACCTGTTACAATGGGATCCAAATCCCAGTTGGGGGCACCAGATTCTACTGTAATAAAAGTAAATATTAATAACTACGATGTATACTGGACTTCTTATTTGCAATGAAGATCTTCACTGTGTACTCTGGGTATGTTCCAAACAGGAAACTTTCTATTGATAGCATGGGATTCTGAGCACAGAACTAGCATAGAGATCTGCAATGCAAACTAAAGTGCAAAATTTTTCTCTTTGAGGAGAACTCAGCCGTATATATTAAACTGGGGAGCAGGAATAAAAAGGGTCAAAATAATTTTTTTAAAAAAATCTAGGCTACATTATTATGAGCTGAGGTCCTAAATTATAAGATATTTGTATTTTATATTTAAATAATAATTTGTAAAATAAAATTTTAATCTGGGTTGAGAAATGGTAAGCAATATCAGTGTGAAATGAATCAAACCAGAGGAGTAATAAACCCGTTATAACCTGTTAATACTGGGATCATGGACAGCTCATTAGCAGAAGAAGCACTTGATCACTCAATTATATTTTTCTTCTATGGTCTGAGGCACACTACACAGTAGTTTTTAGATTTTATTTTTAGTATTTCTAAATATAAATATTTCTTAATTTATTATGAAGCCAGAAAGGTGATGTTATTTAATTTTTCTCCCAAAATCAACAGTCCTGTGAAATATTTGGTTATACAAGAAAATTAATAAAAACAGAAGCATTTAAAATTTGTTTGTAACAAGAAAACAAATTTATTGATTTTTAAAAGACAAGACACAATTTTCTTTTGAAAAACACAAGAAAGCTAGCCTGAGTTCAAGTCTGAAATATTCAGAAAAATCCTACTATCTTTAGTATGTTCCAGTCATTTGTTTAAACAACACACTAAAAGTTAATATATATTTTTATAATTATAAAAGTTCCCCAGTTATTGTACAGTACACAATACAAATTGCCCACAAACTATTATTTAGCTCCTGCCAATTTTGAGAGGACATGATATACTAAAAGATTTAGCATTTCTCACAAAAATCACATCAGGAAATACATATTTACAAAATCAAATACATTATACAAAAAACTCATCACGTTATTCTGTAAAGATGTTTTCTTTAAATAATTAAAAAGTATATTTAACTGTAATCCAAAAACTGGAAAAGAACATTACATTATCTCACACATACAATCTACAAAAAAGTTGCTTACCTCATTTACATAACATATTCAGTCAATTGGAAAATAAAAGTTCAAATATCTCCTAGTGTTACAATGTTTCTGTGCTTGTGGGACTGAATAATGTAATCTGCCACTTACTAAGTGAAATTTAAATGATGGCACTTTAAAAAAAATAAAAATAAACACAACGAAGGAAGTTACCTAGAAGGTAAGAAAGCCCTGAGTGATAGTAGAATTTACTGATTGGTAAGCACTACAATTAACCTAATTAAAAGTTTACCATCTCAGGCACAAATTTCCAAGTTTTCTAAAGGCACTCACTTAAAGTTTCTGTAACAGTCTCGCTGGTTACTACTGTAAATCCAAATTTTTGATGGCAACAAGTGGGGATGGGACAGGGATAAGGAACTTGCTTTGGTACAAAATGATACCTTTTTTGACCAACAAATATTTAAAATCTATATACTGGGTTATTTTAATTTTATATGTAATGTATAAAAATAAGCCAAATCACCGTAATATTTTATTCAAGGAAAATTTACTTGGGCTCCTCAGCCACTTAAAAACTCACCAATGAACCCCTTGGCAGACATCATCCTCGCACTGAGGGACAGCCAAAGAAAATGGGATCCCTTTAGCACTCCTTATGAAAAAAAATCTCCTGCTAACTTCAGTAGTTAATTTTCTTGAGCCTGGAGTACTGAATCGGGTCCCTGATAATCATGAGTCAAAGGAGGTTATTCCTCCCAATTCCTATATTCTTCTGAAAATGTCTTTTATTGTTTTAGAGTGAAATTCAGCCCAGTACGACAGCCCCGGCAAGATCATCTGCACCACCTGAGCCCCATGTTAAACAAGGCCCTGATTCAGGAAAGCAATCAAGCACATGCCCAACTGTGATTTAAATGAGACTCACCATCTTGTGCTGGGCCTTCTTCTCTGGGATGAATTTCACCCTTAACAATCGATGTAAATTAACAATTCTTACCAAATATTTCATTACTCAGGGCTTCCAATCCCATCATCATAATTTTTTTTAAAAAAATTCAAACAAAACAAAAGAGTTAAAACAAATGTTTGAAAATAAGGCATATCTGACTTCAAACAAAAAATAGGCAGTCACTTTGTAAGTGGCTTTTACTATTTTTTAAGTAAAATTGGTAAATTAAACTCAGGTCTACTGGCACATAAAATCACTAGCAGCAATGATCAAGGCATGCAAACTGAGAAGCATTTACAGTAAATTATGAATAAAAAATTGTTAAATTAAAACCCTTTGAGTATTGCATTTGTTTTAATTAATTATGCATGAATTTGCATTGTTTATTTGACTAAAAAAAAGTTTACAACATATCTGCACTACACTACTGATGTATTTCCACTAAACATCTTAATATGAGACTTTTTTGCACTCAGCTAGACTAAAGCAAGCACAGCTGCAGATAATGGTGATCACTGGTTGATACTGCAGGGAACCAGTACAATATCTACAATATTCTCATATAGTAAGGTGACATTTAGAACTATTTTTTTCAGAGTCTCCACCCACTTCTAAATTTGTGCCCTTATTTTTGTATGCACAATTTATTTGTGAGAAAAAAGGTGTTTTTTCAGATGCCAAAATGCAGGTGCAAATTTATAGGTTTGTTTTTTTTTTCTTTTAAATTCTGACACTCAGTAAGGGCCATCCAAAAGTGCTTTCACAGATGAACTTGAACCAAGTGCCTCTATCTTCTTTGTTATCCATATGCCATTTCACAGTGACAAAATGTTGAAGTGGTATAAATAAAATTATGTTCTTTTTGCAATTGTTTATGCAAAAGATTGTGCAGAAAATTTAACTGCAAACATCTCAAATGTCCTGCAAAAATCATCCTTACTTATTATGACAGTTTTGTTCTGTTTTTATTCCTAAAGATTTCCATTTACAGTACTGGGGCTTTCCAATGCTACCCTAATGAGATTTTCAAAGTCTAAAAATAACCCTTTTTGCTAAATTCCCACCTTTTAAAGGCATTTTAAGTACTTCACAACTTGTATTTATAGGACCATATATTTGACTCCTTCATTAAATATTTACGGAATTATGAAACTAAAGGAGCTGAAGTACTGTTTTGCTGTAGACAGTACACATAGATGGCAGTATATATTTTAGCCTAAATCAATCAAGCCTTCTACAACAAATTGAAAAGTCTACATAGTATGCAAGCATTTACTTTAGAAAAAAACATTTGTTGCAACATAACCAGACACTTAGATGTATACAATATCTTCAGTAGACTAATAATTAAATTACCTGAAAAGATTTTCCCCTTATCATGTGACTTACAATGCTCAAAGGGTTAATGCAAGGCATTACATCAAATTAATTTTCTAATACTAGAAATAAGCACTGTGTTTATGCTTCTATTCCAGTTTTTTAAAATCACCAAATAAAGTATCAGAGATACTATAATTCCATTCATTGACTTATCTTAACCATGTACACAGAGGTTGTCCTGTTCCACAGAGACAAGGGCCCAATTTTCAGGAATTAGTACTGCTCTCCCAAATTAATATTTCAAATTCTAAAATTACTGTAAAAAATGAGTTCTAATATTACAGAGTTTATTGATTTCTTTTTATGGCTATAAATGATTTTTTTGTTCTGTGAAACCACTTCTCTAAATGAAACAACTGCAATCTATTTTAAACTAATATACGTGTTTTCCTAAACAGTGCAGATGACATCTGGTAAGAACCACAAAGATATCAGATACGGTCTTCAAATGAAAATAATTTGAACATAGCAGTGTTTCAGACATTTAAAAATACCTCGTTTTAAATTAAACAAATTTGTATATAGACCTATACATTCCTGAATGACAATACACCAGCATTTTATTGATTTTACCCATTTGTGAAACTCAAGGCAGTAATGTTGCACATCGCTTATTTTGTAGGTAAACAATTTTAAAACTATTCTCCAGATGTTGTGTAAGGAATATTATCTAAACAAAGATGCATTAAACATGCTACAGTACAAGAGTAAGCACAAAAAGAATAGCAAGTTGGAGAGACAAAAAGTAATTTTAAATCTAGTGTACAATGAGAGACATGAAAAAGTACCAACAATTTTGCATACATATAAAAACTTGTGAAAATTGGGCCCCATGTTTTGAGAAAGTGGATCAACAATACCCCCCACATTGCTCACTGTATTATTTGTGCTAAAGGGGGAGGGGGATATTTTTAAAATAATTATTCTGAAATCAGTGTCTGGATCAGATAAAATCCACAAATCACATAGGCACTGACCCTGCAATTTGTAGCATGTGGGCAAACTGCTGCACTCCCACAGAGCACCAATGAAATTAGTGGGCTTAAGGGTTGGCACTTAAGTCTAGCCACATACTACATGATGCAGAACTGGGAACACGGTTTTAAATCTCTGTTTTTACCAAAAATCATTAACCCTTCCCACATATTAATAAATAGCAAAAGTGTGCAAATTGATTGATTATATATATAGTGTTTGATTTATTACAACTCCATTAAATGTAAAAAACCAAAACCAAACCCACAAACACCACCCAAACGTGTAAATTTACACAGTATTTTACTTCATTAAAGGAGAGATCTTGTAAGAAAGTGATGGAAATGTTATTTAAAATTGACACTATAATCAAATTATAAACATGGGAATACAAACTATTTCATTCAATTAACTGAACACGCCATGATTCCAATTTATTTTGATAAATAACACTCTTTTTCAGAAAGAAAAGGAGTAGATCACCTCTAGTTAATTAAGATTTCTGGCATGTTAGATTCTCAGATTCATCTAACATTCTAGTTTTCATCTAAGGCATAAAAATTATTGTTGGTTCAAACTGTGAAATACATTCCATTTTTGTATTTACTCTTATTTTTTGCACTGTGGGAACAGTGAACAACTGGGGGGAGAAGTTGAATCATGGAGGGCTTACAGGCTCCACCTCTGATAGCAATCCAAATTTGCATGTTACAATCACACTTTTCTCTCAGCATGAGCAAATCCAACATTAAAACAATACAGGACAAGGAAAAGAAAACATTTAAGGTTTGCCAACACAAAAGATGAAACCAGTAAATATATCTGGTCCAATTCAGAACCTCAGTATTAAAGCATTAAAAGAAACTATGTTGAAAATGGAAAATATTTTGTTATTTTTATATTTAATTTAACCTGTAAACAGTTCATAATGCACAATGAAGGGGAATAAATATTTATCACAGCTTAGTTTTATTTTAATGAGGGGTGCAGACATGCTCTTTTGGATGGAAAAAAAATCAGGACACGCAAATAATATCTGGGTGAACAAAACCTATGAAACCTAGAGCTTGCATAAATTTCAAATACTGTAAATGACATAAACCCTATCTTGCACTCTCTACTCAGGGAAAACACCCATTGACTGGTGCGAGCTGTAGAGCATGTAAAATCGGGCCCCAAATTCTGAAAAGTACAACTCTAAACAATTTATACTTATTTTATACATTAAAAATGTTTACTAGTGTATTAAGAAAATTTACTTGATCTGTATCAGTTCTTGGAGCATATGAAAACTCTAGCAAGAAAGATGTATACTATAAATATACTGTTCATCTCACATGCTGTTCAGCCATTTGGTACAGGTAAAAAAGATCAGTCCAAAGACACACTAAATAAACCAGACTAAATAACTCATTAGTTTTTTTTCCAACCGGCCCTCTCAATAAAACTGAAATGTTTGTGTGTGTACTTTCCTTCATTTTTGGCTTTTTTGCTTGCTTATTTCCACTATTAGAACTGAGTAGATTTGTGTGCCTGTTTTAAAAATAATGAAATGTATAAAATAATCACACATGCCTGTGAGATGTTTCATGTCAATTAAAATGGGATGTACACACATTCTCTATGATTTAGCCATTAAACATAATTGCAGACTGACACCCCACCACACATACAAATTGAAAACATGCTCTGCATTAAGTACCTGCTCATTTTGTTTACTTTCTAAAATTAAAAGTAGACAAGGGTTTAGAAAATATATAACCATGCTTGGGGCTGGGGTAACCTACTTTGTTAACATCTGAAGTTGGCATTAAAGCTAGTTTTGCTTTCCAGATCCCCAAGCATATCTCATTTGTAATAAAGTGAAATTCAGCTAGAAACAAGAAAAAATAGGTTTATTGTCACTCTAAGAGGGATATTAACACCATTTAGTAATAAAAAATTTCCTTTTATTTCTTTGAAGAATATGTAACCTGCCCTTACTTCTTAGGGAATTTGAAAATGACAGGCACACCTTGCTGAATGAATTTAAGAGTTATTAATAACAAAAAGTACTAAATCTTAGCTTCAGTTCTGTTTAAGGCACCATGTAATAGCCGAGGTACAATGATCCCTGATGTACATTCTTAAATGGCAATGGTCCATCTAGCCACCTATTCAAATTCTACACAATTGGGAATAAGTACAAATGAGGTGTGCCAGTTACACTGCCTTATTTAATTTTTGTAAAAATTTAAATCCACTTACTTTAAGAACTAGGAAATATTTTTGAAGTAAATATGATGCAGGTTGCTACATTCCTTGCATTCTATAAGTTATCTTTTATAAGAGCAGCAGATTGAACTACTAGTAGGAAAAAGACCTGGAATAGAAGAAAGTCATCCAGATGGAATGGTTTCCTGTATGTCCAGTTCAGCATAAGTAGCACATACACTTACAAAAATCAAGTCACTTCTTTTTCAACTTCAGTATCTATCTACTACAGTCCCACTTAACAGCTGAAAGCATCTGTGCAGTGGTCTCAAATATAGAATCAGTAGTCTTCAAACAGAGGAACTGGTATGCAAACAAAATGTAAAACTGATGGTTTCAATGGAAGCTTGCATTGTTTACATGATGGTCTGATAATTATGTACATTTATTATGCACACATTACCATTCTCTCATTTAGTCTGCATTCATGAATGCAGAAACATAACTCTTCCTTAGATAAAGAAAACAATAGATCTTCTCAACCCTCCAGCATTATAATAAAAATTCCTAAAACTTTCCCACTGAATGCTCAGAAATATGATCAAAATAGTAGTGTTTTCTAGTTCTGTCCAATGAAAAGCACCTTTTTATGACAAATTTGATGCATCTGCTGTCAAATGAATATGCCTCCAGTGTAAATCAAAGAAAATATTTCTTTTGATATTTCACAGAAGTGCATCTAATTAAAAAACTATGTATATTAAATCATCACCATAACTAACAATTAACATTAACATATTTTAAAAAACTATGAAAAAATTAAATTACTTTAATTATAAGATGACAAAAACATTAATAGTAAGCTTTGCAAAATCCTTCTTGACATGTGAAACTAAGAAAACTCTTAATATTGAGTGACCAATGTAAAATGATTTTGTTTACAAAAATTTTTTTTTAAACAGATCTGGGAAAATACATACACCCATTCCATTTCACAACTCCAACAAAGGTAATGTTCAGCAAAGCTAAAATTTGACAACAGTCGCCTTCAGACTTATTCTCGTTTTTTCATATTAAGCCCAACATCAACAGGGCTAATGTAATCTGGGGGGAAAAAAGCTTTAATATTTGTTAGACTGCAGTATATGTATTTCCAGTAGCACTGCATTGTCTGATAGTCTGAGTACTTGTGACAATGTGCTCATTGTGAAGTGGGGTCAGGAGGTTCTGCTGTACTCCACTCTCTAGTACTGGCTGCATGCAGCCCACCTGAAATGCCTGGGTTAGCTCAGCTTTCTCTCTCTTGGCTTGTGGCTCTCCAGATTCCTCTAGCTCTTCATCTATTTCGCTTTCAACTTCACTGCCCTCATCTGCACAAACAAACAACCATGAAACTAGCACACAGTGAAAAAAAATCTAAATACTGTGAATTACTAAGGCTTTTATTTTGCAAACAACACATAAGATATGAAAAACAGAAATCTAGCTACCTGAGAAGGTATAAACTGAAAATTGAGATTTTACTGGGAAAATGTCAGTGCATAATGTGAGATTCATGTGTTCAATGAACTCTCAGCTTCAAATATTATAGTACACATTCTTAATATTGCAATTGCTTTTTGCCACTTCAAGCCAGCTCAAACAAATATAATAGTGTCACTAAAATAACAATAACTTTGTACTTATATAATGTCTTTTGCCTGCAGAATTTAACACGAATGGAGATGAAGAGAAGCTAAGTGACTTGCCCAAGATCACAGAGCAAGCCAGTGGGAAAGAAGAGAACAGAGGCCAGATTTGCTGATTCCAAGGCTCTACTTAGAGGACCTAGAAATTTACCACTCTCTATTATACTTCTCACTATTTAAAAAGCTAGTTATTTGGCAAAGTGCTTGACAAACAATGGGCCCAATTTTGCAGTCCTTACTCAGAGAAAACTCTTTCAGACTATCTACACACGAATGTGTATAGATTTCACCCACCAGCATGTAGCCAGTTTCGGGGTGGGATTCTGAATACCTACTAATGTATAAACAATCAGCCCTTTTAAAAGATTTTCTTATTAGAGGCCATATCTACAGCATCCTGTAATTATTCGATACTGAAATATACTGTAGATATTATAGAACACTCATTCAGAAGACTATAAGAATCTAGTTTTAGGTTCTGCGCTACTATATTTTAGGGCTATCAATTAATTGCAGTTAACTCACGTGATTAACTCAAAAATTAATTGTGATTAATCGTACTGTTAAACAATAGAATACCAATTGAAATGTATTAAATATTTTTGGATGTTTTCTACATTTTCAAATATATTGACTTTAATTACAACACGAAATACAAAGTGTACAGTGCTCACTTTATATTTATTTTTTATTACAAATATTTGCACTGTAAAAAAACAAAAGAAATAGTATTTTTCAAATTCACCTAATACAAGTACTGAAGTGCAATCTCTTTATCATGAAAGTCGAACCTACAAATGTAGAATTATGTACAAAAAAATAACTGCATTAAAAATAAATCAATGTAAAACTTTAGAGCCTACAAGTCCACTCTGTCCTACTTCAGCCAATCGCTCAGACAAACAAGTTTGGTTAAAATTTGCAGGAGATAATGCTGCCTGCTTCTTGTTTTCAATGTCACTTGAAAATGAGAACAAGCGTTCACATGGCACTTTTGTAGTCGGCGTTGCAAGGTATTTACGTGTCAGATATGCTAAACATTTGTATGCCCCTTCATTCTCTGGCCACCATTCCAGAGGACATGCTTCCATGCTGATGATGCTCATTAAAAAATAATGTGTTAATTACACTTGTGACTAAACTCCTTGGGGGAGAATTGTATATATCCTGTTCTGTTTTTCCTGCATTTTGCTACATATTTCATGTCATAGCAGTCTCAGATGATGACCCAGCTCATGTTCATTTTAAGAACACTTTCACAGCAGATTTGACAAAACGCAAAGAAGGTACCAATGTGAGATTTCTAAAAATAGCTACAGCACTCAACCCAAGGTTTAAGAATCTGAAGTGTCGTCCAAAACCTGAGAGGGATGAGGTGTAGAGCATGCTTTCAGAAGACTTAAAAGAGCAACACTCAGATACGGAAACTACAGAACCTGAACACCAAAAAAGAAAATCAACCTTCTGCTGGTGGCATCTGACTCAGAGGATGAAAATGAACATGCATCATTCCACACTGCTTTGGATCGAGCAGAACCAGTCATCAGCATGGACGCATGTCCTCTGGAATGGTGGTTGAAGCATGAAGGGACATATGAATTTTAGGGCATCTGGCACGTAACTATCTTGCAGTGCGGGCTACAACAATGCCATGTGAATGCCTGTTCTCACTTTCAGGTGACATTGTAAACAAGAAGTGGACAGCAGTATCTCCTGCAAATTGTAAATAAACTTGTTTGTCTGAGTGATTGGCTGAAGTAGTACTGAGTGGACTTGCAGGCTCTAAAATTTTACATTGTTTTATTTCTGAATGCAGTTTTTTGTACACAATTCTACATTTGTAAGTTCAACTTTCATGATAAAGAGATTGCACTTTGTATTGGGAGAATTGAAAAATACTATTTCTTTTGTTGTTTTACAGTGCAAATACTTGTAATAAAAAAAAATATAAAGTGAGCACTGTACACTTTTTATTCTGTGTTGAAATTGAAATCAATATATCTGAAAATGTAGAAAACATCCAAAAGTATTTAAATAAATGGTACTATTCTATTATTGTTTAAGTGTGATTAATGGGGATTAATTTTTTAATCACATAATTAATGGTGATTAATTTTTTTAATCACGTGACAGCCCTACTATATTTCCATAATATTAAGATTTGTCTTGCTCCAGATAATACTAGTTTTATAAAGAATTATATGTTCAAGAGATTAAGTACTTACCTTTATCCATATTTCCAGGGGAAGCAGCATTTAAGTCGCCAAACTGCAAAATAATAAATATTCTTGGCTAGTCTTAAAATCCATACTGCACATCCTATTTAAACATCAAATAAAATGGTGATGTAGTCCATCCTTTTTATCATGCAGTTAGAAAATTATTTGCAATTTAACTCACCAATTTTTTAAAACAGTTACAGTCAAATACCTGCTTTGCTGCCGTGGTGCAAAAACAGCAAGAAAAACCTTTGTTTTTTGACTGGTCCACCTTAATCTGAACAATTCTGATTCTATATTGCAGCGACCAGGAAACTTTTAAACCAAGTTATCAAAATTAACATGTGTGACAGCGTTATTTTAGAAAAGACACAGTGAGGTTAGACATATACCAGTTGTGAAAAAAAAAATAGTTGCCACAATTGGTAGATGAATCACCTTGACATAAGACTGTTTTTTCTTTTTGGTGATTTTTAAATACAGTCTTTCTACTGACCAAAAAGGAAGCATATGTAGAGGTGGGGAATGACAGGGTGCAGAAAATCAGAGAGACTTTCACTGAGTTCAGTAGTTCATTTTCCATTCCCACTAAGATGCATTTTACCATGGTTTACAATAAGGAAATAACATCAAAGCTAAAATAAAAAGCCCCAGCAATGAAAATGGTGAAACTAATTAAAAACTGAAGTTAAAATCCTGATTAAAATAATTATCTGACATCTTTGTCAGGATCCTTGCCTGTTCTGAGTGTAAGCTCTTAGAGTAAGATATTCCTGCATCGTACAGTTTAGAAAATATTTTTGGTGCCTATGATGTGCTGCCAATATTTAAACAAAAAGCTTCCACAAAATTTCCCCTTAAGACCTTGTTTGTAATTGAGAAATTTGCACCCATGTCATTACATCAATGACACTAGTGCACACACCTAATGTAAATACATTGAACCAGTGCAAGTGTGCTCACCACAGCTGTATGTGGTGAATCCTTGTCCATCTGACTTGAAGAAAAGGGGTTCCCCCTCCTACAGTGGACAGTAGAGGGGGAAAGTTTACACAGATAGAGCAGGGAAGAGCAGAAAGCAGCTAAACCAGGGTGGCACATCAGAACATATATAAGCATAAGAACGGCCATATGGGTCAGACCAAAGGTCCATCTACCTCAGTATCCTGTCTTCCAACAGTGGCCAATGCCAGGTTCCCCCAGGGAATGAACAGAACAGGTACCTTACTGGGTACCCAAGTTATTTGGGAAGGATGAGGTACACTATCTAACAGGGGAGCAGACTATTTTTGTCCAGTATTTAGGAAGGAATCAGTAAATATCTGGGAACCCGGAGTGGGATGTGTGGGAGGCAGACAAGCTTAATTGCCTGTGCCTCCTTGTGGCAGATGGCCAGTGCAGGTACTTGTTACAGAGGGGATACAGTTATCAGATGAAATGGACTGGGAAAGGATTTGAAGGAAAGCATTCCTTAAATGAGCTGAGGAAAGGAATTGGGGGCTCCTACATCTGGTACAGGAGGGTGCTGAGTCCCCCTCCTTTTCTAGCCCTTTTTACCTCATGCAAGGGGAGGGTGGCTGGATTTCAGCAACGGGATGGCCAGGACCAGGTTGGAGATTATCTGGCAAATGATGATGACCTGCACTGTGCAATTTTATTGCTGGATATTCCCAGATATTTGAGATGACAGAGTTGCAGTCTAAATAATATCAATTGTCTCGTTTTCTTCCAGTGTGGCCAAATAGTCGGGGTTTATATCAGGTGTATCTTATTCTGGTAATTATCTGATTTATGCAAACTAACTAAATGCAATGTTGTCTACCAGCCACCCACACCACCTGGAAAACAATCCTCCAGTTCCATCCCTTTTTTGAATGAGAAACTGCAGAACAAAATCTGACCTATAATTCTCAGGTAAGAACAACATATATTTATTTAATATATTTCTAACATTACCTGGCTTCATTCTGGTCAAAAATAAAGAAAGAATTAGCCTTCCTTTTGCTATATCATCCAAAACCAGGAATTGCACAGATACACAAATGGCATAAATAAAAAAATAGTTAACCACTTTCCCCCCAAAACTCAAAACAGTTTTGGGCTGGTTCTTATTTGAGCTATAGAAGTTTGCCAGTCCTCAATTTATGTCAGACCATTATTGAAACCCTCACGCTAAACACCTCACAGTTAGCAAATTCTATTTCAATTAAAAAGACAGAAATATAGCAACTCTACATTTTGACATATTCCTTACTATACATACATTATAATGGGGAAACACTGCAATTTTTAAAAAAAGCCACTATTGGATATAAATATCTGAATGGTTAGCAGGTGACTACTCAGAATGATTTATTTTTCTAAATTGTGTGATGCTGTATTATGTTGTATTAAGACACCACAAATTAAGCTAACAGTATATGGCACTTCCCCAACCTCTATTAAAGTAAAACATTTATGGATAATATTAAATAAGTCTTGAAGAAAGAATGCTGTATGATGTCAACTTAAGTTGTGAGTTGACTTAACAATGCAATAGACATAATGTGATTGATTCCATGGTATAAAAACCACCACATTTCAGTTAGATTAGCCACCTGCTAACTATATGGGTCCCAATCCAGCAACCACCTATGTATGGGCTTTACTTTATGTACATGAATAGTACCAGTGAAGCCAAAAGGACTAGTTGTGTGTAAAATCAAGGAAATGTAAGTGTTTGCACAATGGAATCTGAGACATTTATATCTAATCCAAATTATTTATTTCAGATTTTCAGTATATTATGCAAATGTTTAAGGAAATTAATTCTTACTTTCTGCGGATAGTTCACTGAAAAGAAGAGTTTCCAACTACAGGTTTCTTTTGCAATTTTTTTTAGAGTCCTGAGTTATGAGTGCTCAATAACTCTGCAAATCAGGCAACTTTATTTAGTTGCCTAAACATGGATTAAGATTACCTAACTTTGGGCACCCAAGTTTGAAAATGTTGGTCTATTTCAAACCCAGTCCAAACCTTATGCCTACAGCAGTTATATTAAACTCTTCCCACATTTAATTAGAAATTACAGACACTTTGTAAAGGTACATTCCAAATTCATCTCTAAATCAACCAGTCAACTCTTGCATATTATCTTACCTCTCCCATAACTGCTATAGGTGTTTCTCCTGTTGCCTGAGCAACACGATGTTCTACTAAGTAAAACATGTACTCATCATAAAGCAGGCGGATCAGATGAAAAGAGCCAAAACTAGCAGCACTGCGCAAGGTTAAGTCTCGAATAACCATTGAGCTGTTTAAAAATGAAAAGATATATACATAAAATAAATATTAAAATTACCCCATATTTACAATTACATGACTTATCCATATGGAGAATTAACTCAGAGAAGAATCTTCTGCAGTTAACATTATCCACAGACACAAAACTCCTGAGTTATGGGGTTTTTGGGGTGCAATGTCAAGGAAACCAATGCAGGAAAGATATTAGAAATGATTATTTGCCTGAATACTCCAGAATCTATATACCATACCTTGCTCTGCAAATATGGATTATTTTGGCACAGACCCATCCCAAACATTTCTCAAAAGTTAAATAGAGTAGGTGAATTTGCATTTTTATATTATATTATTTTCAGAGAAGTCACTTTACAGGTAAACAACCTTCCTCTTTCTCTGAAATTATCATCTTTGAGACCACACTCCTAGAATCTAGGAGCCAGATTTTCAAAAGTGTATTTCTTTATGCATGCACACCTTTCGATGCGTCGGTTTTGAATCATCCCAATTTGGGGGCACACATTAAAGGTTACATGCACATCAGTTAGGCATATGCAAAAATCAGTCCTTTGAAAAACTGGCATTAAAATACAAGAAAGAGTCTTCCACTTGAATCTTAAATAAAAAACATTGTATTATAATTATTCTAGTTTAAACAAAGATCTGAAAGTACAAAAGAAAATATCCCTTTCAGCTATACCATCATTGGTGCCAAAACTGCAACACAATGGTACGGATTTCTGATTGATACAATTTTTAAAGCTGGTCACATAAGTTGTGCCAATAAGTTAGCAGGTATACCTGTTGTATGTACAAATGCAGGTTTTGTTTGAAAAACTCCACAATATTAAAGACTCATGAAACAGATACTATAATGGATCATCTTTAAAAAATTAAGAAATGTTCTGTCAATGTACTTTATACAGACAGAAAAAAAGTTACATAATGTTACCATGTATTTATATACAAACATGACACACAAAGAATATACTTTATTTACCAGCTCTTCTTTGGTAACAGAAGTAACACAGAATATGTACTTTTTGCTTGATGTTCTTCCACATATTAAAAAAGACTGTCTTCAAAACAAAATAAAAATAGAAGACCTGGTATTTTAATAAATAAATATTAATAAAAATAATTTTACAGTTATATAGTGTTTCATCCCAAAGATTTCCTGAACATGTTACAAACTTAGGACCAAATTTGGCTCTCATTGCATTTGTACAATGCTTCTGAAACAGTTCACAAGGATCGCTCCTCAATCACTGAGTTGCATTCTGGCCTTGAATTTGAGGTTAATATAACCCTACCCTTTTGAAAAATGCTATGGGATCTTTAATAGTGAGTGCTCTGTGGTCTGATCTTATTTTTCTTCCATGTTATCAAAATCTCTGTGTGCGCGCACATTTCAACAGCAAAGTATGAAATACACTGAAAACATTTTAAAAGAATTTTAAGTACTACCTGTAGAAAGACCATTTTAGCAGAAATTGCCGTGCTGCTTTAGGAAAGCTGGGTCTTCCTTCATATGGTTTCAATGCTTGCATCATTACGTTATCGAGCCAGGCAGCCCACTGCTCCAGAGTGCTCTGCTGCTGAAGAGTCATCTTGAAGTCGGTTTCTAGTCTCTGAACCATGTTGTCATCACACTGGCATACCCAGGAAGCCTGCTCCTATTACAGTACATAACATATCTTCAATTAACATCAGTATGTGAAGCTTATGCATAAAAGGAAAATTATTATGAAAGATTAAATAATCAGCTGAATGAAGAGGATGAACTACTCTTTCCAGGCAAACTAATGAAGCCATTTTTATTTTTAAATCCCCCATAATCTCATTCTTACAAAAAGGTGGGCAAAAAATAAACAAAATATGAAAATGGGCTTTAAATAAAATATCTAAATTAAAAATACTGTAGAAAAAACAGAAATGAATAGAGAGCAATACTCAAATATTTTTATATGAAACTTCTTTAACTCTAGTCCTTCCTAACATTTATCATGAAAATTTTGGGAGTTGATGGGTTGTAGGGAGTGTAATGGCAGCATGTTGGGTGAGCAGAGAAGTACTAGTGCAGAGAGTAGTAAGCAGTGGGTGAGATCAAGGCCGTTTTGTTTGCCTGTAGGCAAACAAAATTAATCCAAATTAATTATGCGATTTATAGTATATTTACAGAGACACTGGAATCATATTTTAAATAGAATAAATAATTTGAAACACATTGTGACCATAGCAGGTAAGTGTATTACTTTTAAATATTTAAAAAATGTGAGTAGGACACCCTCGCTAGAAATATTGCAGTATAGTTAGCTACTATTAGATCTGCCCAGAAGACCAGACCTATTGCATTAGACCTCATCACAGGAAAGAAGCATTAGTTCTAAAAATAAGTGGACTCCTCAATTGCATCTCCACTAAATGAAAGTCAGCAGAACACTTTGGGTTGGAACAGAGGAAATAGAGAGGAAAAAGCTCTGATATCTTTCCTTCCTGAGGACAGTTGTGTAAACTGTTAGATTTGGCTAGACACACTCAGCATACACCTCAGCAAAATGTACCTGTTGCATTTTCTGGGTGGAAATATGTGACCTAATACTAATGTTCGGAGTTATGGGGAAAACAAAAGAGAACACTTGATAAACTCTGTTTTGTAAAGATACAGTTTACCTGGACATTGGCAAAATCAACACGGTTGAGGTCATTGAGCATCTGGTTGATTTGAGAAGTGTTCTGAAGCACAGCACGAGCTGCCTGAGCCAGGTGATTAAGAGATGTGTATCTTCGCAGAGTCTGGGCAAAGGCACTTACAGCGGCAACCTATGAAGAAATCAGTTTTCTCAAATCATATTGTACTCACATTATTTTTGGATCAACTTGTCCCTTGATGATTCTTTTATATTACATTTTAATTATATATTCATTTTGTGTGAGCCATCTTACGTGTGAATCACAGCATTTAAAATTACAGATCAAATAATGTTTCCTCATATGTTTTAAAGATTTTCAGCAAACAAAACATAAACATAACAGCATTTGTTGTAGCTATCAAAATGCAAATATTTTTACTATAGTCATTAATGTCATTCAGGCTCACTGTTGAATAATGCAACTTTCATTCCAAACTAAACAGTTACTTAATTTTACCTTGGTTTGTATCATTCTCTGTGGAATATTGTTCATGGCATTGGAAAGCCAACCTTCAAGGCTTTTTGCAAAATTACGAATGGCTTGGGTCAAGGCACCTAAACATTAAAGAATAAAAACCAAATGAAAAAGAAGTGCCTGTACTGAAACCTTCATGTCCTTTATGTTTTAATATTCTATATTGATGAGATCTGCCGTTTTTACATACTCAGAGGCTTATCCAGTCTAGGTTCAAAATTCTTCATTCACATATATAATATGCAAGAATTATTTTATTTTCAGCTTTTCCAAGCAGAACTGACCTCCTTATCTAAGAAGCTTTCAAAGGTCTATGGCCAAAGCAACAAAACACCAGTGGTGAGTACTGTTTCAGGTATTTCTGTAGAGGAACATCAATAACTGTAACAACTGTTTTGTATCTACTGAAACAAGCAGGATTCTCTTTACATCATTACTTTTCAACCTTCCACTGCAACTAAGTGCTTTTTCTTCTCAGGTACAGAGAGGCTGCTGAAAATTGTGATTATTACAAAAGTATAATTTCCTCAAGTTAGCCCAAATTGTGCTGCACCATCACCAACATGATGTTTATTCCAGTTTTAAAGAATAAAACACATGATAGTGCAGTGCTCAAAGGCAGTGTCAATCAGCAAAATATAAAAATATACATAAGTGATAGAAAGTAGGGTTATTCTTACCGTGGAGAAGCCTCTGTTTCCCTTTCCCAGTACAGCTCCCTCAGCACTGATGAGTGGTCCACACAGGTGGTTCGAGAGAAATTTTATAGACCTGTCGATGAGCCTGTGACATCATATTCCCTTCTATAAAGGAAGAGATGGACACTAACCTGCATTTCTCAAGTGAGAAAAAGTTCTAGTTCATGAAGGGGGATGGAAGGGAAATATGTGCTGAGGGAGCTACACTTGGAAAAGAAAAAACAGGAACTCCTCCACAGTAAATAAAACCTCACTTTTCCTTACCTCTCACTTGCTCTCTCAAGTATAATACATAGATCTACCAAAAAAGTGTCACATAAAAGAGAAAGGAAAACTATAAGTTTCAGTAGACTCATGATGAACAACGCAGTTGTAATAATGGTGTAAAAAAACCTTGAAAGGGGGAAACTCAATTGTCTTTAAAAGATTTTGAATGACATGTAAAAGGAAACAATGAAAATGTCTACAACTGAGTATTGATTGGATCCATTTATAAAATCATCTCTCTCCAGTAGAGTAAGAATTAGTTGTAAAGAAAAGTTATATTCTTTGAGAAATATCCACTTACAGCTAAAGTAATTAATGATTCCCTTTTTTAAAGTGTGTGTTTTTTTAAAGGAATCAAAGTTATTTAGATCTATCAAAAAAGATAAAAAAGTTATTTGTCTTCCGAGCATATTATTTTGTTTTCAACTATGCAGTGGGAACTAGTGATGGGTGAACCTGGTAAGGTCTGAGCCTTGTGATGTTGCAAAACTGGGCTGGAAGTCTTATGAGAACAGGCTTTTTCATGAGTCTTCTAGGACAAAAAGAGACTTCTTTTTTCTGGTCTGTCAAATACCTAGCATGCTTTTGGTGCTATGCAAATTTATTTCTGCACACTTATTAATTAGCTGTGCATTAATTCATGTGACCAATGGTTTTATAGAATTTCTTCAATACAGTGTTCCTTGAGCTGTAATCACTAAGTTAATGATACTAGTTGTCTAAGGCAAAATTAATCTTTTCATGAACACTGAACAACAGATATAGTAAAACATCTCTTTCATATACTCATCTTTCAGAGCAAAGTATCTCTATTCTACTTTCAAAATAAGTGTGATTAAAAAAAGAAACGAACAACAACTTGATGAAGTAAATGTTGTCTTTTGTTGTGATGAAAAAGAGGAATAGATGATAGTAAGAGATATACTAACTTCCACAGCAGGAAGTTTCTTTTATGTATATAAAATAGATTATTTAACATAAAAATTGTATAGAATAACCATGAATTTCTGAAGACCTCAGAGAGAGAAGTGTCATTTTAAACCCAAAACAAATTCTGTGCTCTCTTTGTTTCAATCAAGCGAAAGCATGCTACCTAAATGTGTGCTGGCCTTTACTTCTTAAGCCCTATTCTAGAGAGGAAATTAAAATCTCTTATTTTTCTTTGAAGCAGTAATTGTTTATATGCCTGGTAACTACAAAAGATCTTAAAACGGCATTTCTTTAGACATTCTTGGTACTGATTTGGCTATCACACAAGAAAACTAATTTAGAGAGTGACAAGGTGATCTTGCATGCAGTTAACAATAAAAGTGACCTGAGCGGCTTTTGATTTGTTACAGCCTGTGAAGTGCTGCTGTCAGTAATAAAAGGTTTTGCAGGAAATGGCATTGGGAGTAATGCTGTTTGTTTCATTAGTGTCATGCCAGCTAATGCTGGCTTCAGAACTAAAAGTGTTCATCTTCTATAAGAGTACCAGAATCGCTGAGGGGACAGCCACGAGAAGATCATCTTCATGGAGAGGGTGGGCAATAGAGCAGGTTGCGAGGGCTTTGAACGGTCGTTTAGTGAGAACAGAGAGAGAGAGATATTCAGGTCCCAAGAAGGGGTAGGTTTTTGTACAGGTTGAAAGGCATTGAGGAAGCAAATGGTGATTGGGTGAGTGAAGATGGAGGAACTGTCTAATGGAGGGAGGAAGGCTCTGAGAGCCAGCAGGTGGACTCTGAGGGAGGAGTGGGCGAGGGCCTACAGTTTAAGTTGGAGGAAGTTGCCTAGGAGGATAGGAATGGATATGGAGTCTAGTGGGTAATGGTGGTGGTGTGCCCAAGTGGTGAAATGCTTCCATTTTGTCTGATAGCAGGTTCTAGAAGATGGCCTTCTGCTGTGCGTGAGGATGTCATGCACTAGGGTGGAGCATGGCTCTGTCTACTTGCGAGCCCGATCCAAATACCACGTTGTGAGGTGCAGCAGGCATGTGTTGGGGTTTCAGAATCATCCCTGCACCTGTGTGAGGAGATCTGGGTGGGTGTGGAGGCAGATCAGGGGAGGCGAGGGATGAGCAGGGAGATGGAGGAGGTCCATGAACCAGTATTAGCAAGGCCAAAAGGGGACCATCAATATGACCTTCGCTTGATCCCACTGAATCTTGTGCAGGACTTGCGGGAGTAGGGGAATGGGCGGAAAGGCATAGTGGACTTCATTGTCTAGGGCAGGAGAAGGGCATTGCCCTGTGAGTCTGGCCCCAATGCCCATCTGGAGCAGAAGAGGGGGAGTTTGCAGTTCTCACTGGTCACAAAGAGTTCCCAGCACAGGGTGCACCACCAGCAGAAGACAGAGCATCATGTGGGATCATGTAGTTCCTACTCATGGGTCGCATAGAAAAACCTGCTGAGTGTGTTCGCTAGGGAGTTGCTGGCACCCAGAAGATACAAGGCTTGTAGTATCACTTCGTGCTTGATGCACCCTTTTCAGAGTTGGAGGCCTCTGCACATAGAGAGAGTGACTTGTCACTGCCTTGCTTGTTGATATATACAACTGTTGCCATGTTGTGGGACAGCAGTTGAATGTGATATGATCTTATGAGAGAGAGGAATGCCTGACAGGTAAGACGGGCAACTCTCAGTTCCAGAATGTTGATGTGCATCTTGGCCTCTCTCGGTATCCAGAGGCCGTGGGCCATGTGACTAGACAGGTGGACGCCCCAACCAGTGAGGGAGGCCTCTCTGGTGAGAGTGGTGCAGAGAGCGGGAGGTGTAAAACAGGGTGCCGACCAAGACTTTGGACAGGTTGGTCCACCACATGAAGGAGTCGAGGACGAACCAGTGGAGCAGGACAGACTTGTTCAAGCAGTCTGTCTGTGGTTTGTAGATCAACCTGAGCTACAGTTGAAGGCAGCATATATGGAGGCAGGCATGGGGTGTTATGGAGATGCAGGCCGCCATGTGGCCAAGGAGGGAAAGACATTGGTGGATACAGGTGTGCGGTTTGTGGCATAATGTTGCGATGAGAGAGGTGAGGATGGCAAACGGGTCTGCCGGGAGGAAAGCTCGGCTCACGAGAGCGTCCAGGAATGCCCCAATAAAGGTGATCCATTGGGTAGGGATGAGGACTGGCTTTTCCCTGCTGATACAAATGCCCATGTTGGCGAGGAGATTGCAAAGGGTCTGTATACCGGAAGGGAGGTGGTTGCGTGACATCACAACGAGGAACAGTCATCAAGATAGGGAAACACGGAGTGGCCAAGGCGTCGCATGTGGGCTGCGATGATGGCAAAGACTTTTGTGAATACACAAGGTGCAGTGGCAATGCCAAAGGGGAGGACACAAAACTGAGAATGGGAATGAGCAACCCGTAAAATGGAGACATTTCCAATGAGCCAGGTGAATGTCTATGTGGAAATATGGCATTTTTCATATTGAGAGCTGCAAACCAGGCTCCGTGAGGGAGGGAAGGGATAAGGAGGGAAAATGTGACCATCCAGAACTTGAATTTTCGTATGAACCTGTTGAGTAACTGGAGGTCCAGAATGGGGCAGCAGCTGCCTCTTTTTTTCAGAATAAGGAAATACAGGGAATTAAAGCGGCAGCCCTAGTAATGGAGGGGGTTGTGCTCTCTGGCACCCTTTCGGAGAAGGGTGCCTGCTTCCTCTCAGAGGAGATCTGAGTGGGAAGGATCTCCAGGAGAGTGCGATGAGGGGGGAATCAGAGGACTTCTATAGAGTACCCCTGGTGAATGATGTCAAGCATCGAGCGGTCTGTGGTGATCTTGTCCCAGTTGTGGGCAAACAGGCAAGACGGCCCCCAAGGGTAACATGGGGCAGCATGAGAGGGATAGGAGGAGGTTCAGATGAGGGAGTCAAAATGGGTGTTTTGACTGATGTTGTGGGAAGGTTGAGGGGGCAGAAGCGGTAGCAGCAGAGTAATGTAGTTGTTGAGAGCACTGATGATGTCGGGACGATGCCTGTTGTTGTTGGAAGTAGGGGTAGAAGGAGGTGTTGGGGCAGGGCAAAAGGACAACTTCTGCTGCCTGCAGGTCGGGGCCCAGGTGTATATGGTGAGTGACTGCAGAGCGGGGTGGGAATCACTGAGAGCGCAGAGGGATTTATCCGTCTTGTCACTAAAGCTTTTGGTTGTCAAAGGAGAGGTCCTCAAAAGTGGATGGTGCTTTGCCTTATGCTCCTTCCGGGGCTTCTTGGGAGCTGGGGCAGCCGGGTCGACACACAACTCTTCACCTGATCTAGCTCAGGGAGGCAATGCTGTGTTTCAGGGCAGTGCCCATCGGGGAGCTGCCCTTATGCCCATGTCCATGCTTCTTATGTTCATGGTCTGGCTTCTGTGGCAGTACTTATGGCTCTGTTGCATTGGAGCAAGACAGAGGGGCACTTACTAGTGGTGACAGATGCCATTCCGATGGATCTGCCAGTTTCGGATCAGACTGCACACATGGGCGCATAGCCTCCTCCATTAGAAATGTACAGAGGCAAAGTTCTTTAGCTTCTCAATTTCGGAGCGGGAATGATCGGCAGAAGGAACAGCCAGTGACAACGTGGGCTTCGCCAAGGCAGTAAAGGCACAGTTGGTGCTCGTCGCTCACAGCAAAGGAGCGTGGGTTTCAAAGCTGGCTTGCCAGGGCACAATCCCCGGAAGCGGGGGGTGGGAGGGATCTGTCCGACGGGGGAAGAAATCCAACAGGGATCCTAACTAATTATGAGTCTTACAAGCTACTATATACAACTATAAACAACTATATACACTGAAAAAATGGACAAGCAGTTCTCTTAGCAAGGCTAAGAGCACTGAGGAACAGGCGTTCTGACTCTAGCCATGTGGCGATAAAAGGGAACTGGAGCAGTGTTGACCTGCATGGCCTCTGATAACCCTGGATGCGAGCACGCGAACAATGCACAACACACATGCAGGTCAATGGACGCTACTACTGCAAAACTGTTCCAGCTTTGGCGCATGTCACGGATGCACACCCATGTCTGGAATCCATATAGGGACCACCACTCAAAGAAGAACTTGTACTTGTTGAGACAATCACTACCCCTTTTTGCTCTCAGCTTCCACTCTTACTCTTGAATGATGCTTTTTCCAGGAAGCCATTAGCAAGTCATCTTCACCCATCTCTGTTCTTATGGGGCCAGCCATATAAACCCAAATTTCCCTGAATCCTGTATTTAGCCTACTGTGGTGAGTGGAAGACATTTCCTCAACCTCTGAAGCAGGTAATAAACTACTGCTGCTCCCACTACTGCTGTTTTTGCATTGGCATTTTGTATCCTGTACTTGAGACTCATTCCAGAGTGCACTGTGCTAAAGGACTAAATCTGGATTAAATTTAGGGATTTTTATTGAGCTAAATGGACTTTGTGACAGAACGGTACCTTTTAGTTGCTGAATTAAAGGGTCACTGTAAAAGGGCGAGGGGGATTTTAACTCTCACTAATGCAGAATGGCAGGGGTGGAGGATGGGGAATTTGGGGAAGTGGGCCTACTTATGTGCCGTCACTCCTGCAAAAGATCAGTATGGGAGAAACAGGCTAGGCAACTACTCCTGAAGATCCAGAAACGAAAGTGGATCAAACATCTGCCCTCTAAAGATATTTGAAGAGATGAGGGTATGGATGGGAACCCACCAGGATACCATAAAAGATAGAAAGAGGCTTGTTGGTAGGAAGTGATCCTTGGATTAAAAGATATTTCTATCAAGCATCATCCAAACAACAGGAATCCCACATACAGCATACATAATCATCCAAATCTAACTAATGGTATGTTCATCCATTACTGCATTTCATTCCTAATGGAAATCCTTTGTCAGTAATGACAAACAGAATGAAGAGGACCCAAACATATATGCACTTATCAGCACTGGACATATATGCTTCATCAATGAAGAATTTTTTGAAATTCTGTACAGACACTGCTCCATCTAGCTCATGAAGTAAATTGAGAGTAGGCAGGAAGATGTCATAGCTAATAAGCTAATTTACAAAACTTCTCTGGGGACTACCAGTCAATGCAGAGGAAGCAAGTGAAAGGTTAAGGGAAAAAGCAGGATCTGGTACATAAATCAGTAAGCATATATACACACATTAAAATATTCCATGATAACTTCACTTACGCAATACATTTTTTAAAATCAGAAACTACTTTGTGTGGATGGAATGGAAGACTATTTTAATAGCTCATTTCTCCTTCATTCAAACCTCAATTCAATTTGTCAACTTTAATTGAAATTTTTTTGAATATTTGTTTGAGCTGGACTGAATTCACTTGAAAATAAGATTCTACCTATTTACATTAAACAGAAAAATAAACTCCACCATAAACATAGGCCAAAGCCAATTAGTTTAAGTATGTAGACAAAGGTTGCTTATTTAATCTCTGTATTTAAAAAGGATAATCATTCAGCATTTCTTCTTCTCTTTTCTATTTCATTAATAAAAGGGTCAAATACAACTGCAATCCACCAATATCTTAATCTTTGCCTTTTTAACTATAAAATTTAATTAAAAAATTGTCTTAATATATGGTTGGCATTTGGACTTTTGGATTCACAAAGCTAAAATTTCTTGTACCACAAGTACTGTACTGTACTGTGTATAGTGACGTTCCACTCTGTTTCATTAATAAGTGAAGGTCAGTAGCATGTTCTTACAAAGGTGTAGGTGTAATTTTTTTCTGACCTGTCTGTAACTGGAATCATTAGTAGCAGTTGTATTGACACCAACAGAAAATAGCTTTGTTAGTTACAAGGCTATCTGAGGCACCATCTCCTTTAAATATTAATCCAATTTAACTATGAAATGACTATTGTTTGGTTCATGAAGCGAACACAATGCATATGTAGTTATATGGATTTTACCTGTACAATATCATTAATTATTATTGTTAATGGAAGATATATTCATAATATTTAGCATGACATACATGACATAATAAATACTTTATAAAGGAATTCAACTTTGCTGGAAACCAAGTGAATTAGTTTTCTGTTAAAAGCAGTCTTAAAATTCACTACCTGAGCAATTACGGATTCCAATAATTTTAGCTTTGAAAAGAAAACTGTACTCCTGAGTAAAACAATTTGATAATGGTTGGCTGGCCAAGGTATTATACTACAATCAGTCACTGAGTCTATCAGGTCGGACATAGAACAAAAAATGTGATAGCCTGGAAAAACGAATAAGGCTAAAAATGTTTGACTTTGCACTACACCATTTTAATAGTAAAATGTAACATTAAAATTCATAACCTACTGACTTTAGTAACCTCCTGATCAACCAACAACAACTGTTTAGTTGTCCAGAAACGAAAGCATACAGCATATACATAATTTTTATTAGCTATTTAGAGGCTAATGTAAAGCCTAACCCAAAGCCTACTAAAATAACTGGAAAACTCTGAATGATATCAGTGGACTCTGGCTCAGACCCATAGTGTGTTGGAGTCTATCATGTAGACTAGAGTCAGAGTACAAAGGAACAACATTTTTGATACTAAAGTATAATAAAATAAATAATATACAATGACAAAAGCATCTTTTTTTTAGGAAAATATATCCTGAAAACTTCTGGAAGCCTGTTTTTATCCTTTTATAAATGTGGTGAAATCATCAATCCCTTTTTCTTTAAATACAATGCATACACCTACTGCTACCTTTCTACACTATAAAGCTAAGAGTGACCACATATACTGCTCCTGTAGCCTTCAAAATCACTCCGAAAGGTTTCCTGGGAGGTATTGTAGGCATAAGATCACCAGACCAAAAAAAAAAAAAAAATCCTTACAAGACGTCATCTGTGTTCAACTTACTAGGAATAGGTCTAAGGACGTCAGGAATGAGAATCTCCACCAAAGCCTGGTACATCACATGGTCACAGTTACACATCCATTTCAGAACAGTCTCATTTTTGCACAGAGTAATCAGCTTTGCTTTCGGAAGTCGACTTTCTATTTCACTCAGATTGCTGGTGTGAACAAATGTATCAAATGAATAAATGAAAATGCATATACATGCAGATAGGAAAACAATGGACTTTAAAATATTTTATTTAATAAAACATTATACATGTCTGAACCACACCCAACAGCACTGTGCACCTTGTGTCATATGAGATTGAAAAATGGCCTTCAAATTTCTGCTACAGCACATAACTTATGCAGAGGTATGATAAGAATGGTCCTTTTATCTCAAAAAAGATTGAATACAATGTTATGAAAAGATACCTCTACTGTAGTGATCCAAACCAAATAAAATGGTAGATATACATATACAATCATTTCAAAAAAGCAATTTGTGGTAAACACTAGTTAGAGTGGACAAACATTTTAGACAGCATTAATTTAACCTCGTAAATTAATGATAGCAAGTTAGGTTTCCAGTTCGTAGTAAAACTATACTTCTATTTGATTTTACATCTGCAATTAAATGATGATAATAACCAGTAAAAGAGACATTTACTGACCTCGGTTCACTAATAGCAGTGCCATCAGCTTGAGTGGAGGGAGAATAGCGCCAGAAAGTTTGCCACAATTTTTCTATCAGGCTAAACTGAAGGTTCACTACAACATCCAATATTGCCTGGGGGGGGGAAAAAAAAGGCAAGTGCAGGTGGTCTTCTACCTAAATTTTCGTTAGCAGGGTATGTTATGACAACATTTATATACTGGCTATATTTTGCATAATTAGGAGGAATAGTGGTGAAATGTATATTTCTATTTTAACCAGTGATCAGAGTATATATCCAGTATGTGCAGAGAGATACACTAATAGAAGTATAAGTGGATATGAGACAAAAAAGAGAAGGTCTGCCCTAAACAAACATATTTGATGAATTCACATAAGCAAAACTTCTAAAATAGCTAAAAAATCAAGGGAGACAAGGTAAATTTGCCATGACTACTTCTGCACTGAAGGTTCATATATCTTTTCCATTTCACATCATTTGAAATAGTTGTAACAGCCACAGAAATATTCCAGATGAAATATGGCTTAAAGCTCTCATCTCAGGAAACTTGTTTTTGTAATACTTGAAAAAAAAAATTTGTTTCTTAATGTAAAAAATAGAAATGATTAATTGAATTAGATTTATACTCCCACAGCAAAACCAAAATATTGCATGCAAAATCTGAAATCTAATTTCTCAAATCTGACAGAAATATCAAGATCAAACTTTTTAAAAACAAACTAATTTTCATTCTCAATATTCTATAAAATATACTAATATTGGCTATTCTTACAAAACGAGAGACTCCAGAAAAATCTTATTGTAAAATTTCCCTTAGAACTGAATAAGCAAACTGCTTTTTAGACAAGTTAGACTCTCTCAGGCTGTAATATGTTTTGTATAGTCATATTGCATTGAGAGTGTTTGACTTCTCATGAAAGAATCAAAGGTAAAACAGTGTATATGAAATACATCCTTCTTACCTCACAGTGCTCTCTATAAAGACTCTGCAGTGATTTGATATCCTCAAACGTAGTACCATCTGGCAAAGAAGATATTTCAACTTCTCCAAACTCTGGAAGTACTCGAGATGCATCTGTTTCCATGACAACATAATGGAAGAAAGCTATTGTAAATAGTACCAATTACAGTTTAATTAGGAAAACCTTTAAGAATGATACAAAGAAATAAATTCTAAAAGGGATAGTACCCAAAGAACAAACACGTCCTTATTTTTATAAATAGCAATAAAAAATTATCAACACAAAATTTTAAACGCACTATTTTTTTAAGTACAAGATATATTATACTACAGGATATATAACATGCTAAAATGAAGTTATGTATATCCTACATGTCTGTACATCAAAGGCAAGCACTAAGGTATTTCAGTCTACAAGATATTTTCAGTAAAGCACAGAATAAAGTACAATATGTGAGTTTATAGCATATTCACATTGACTAGGTTTTATTTTGCACTATTGAACAGCTTTAGTACATTCAGTAGTATATTTGTCAGAGTATTCAGCGTTTACATTTGGAATTTAATGGACTTTAATGCATACCTAATGCATACTTTGAGTATGCTGCATAAAAAAAAAAAGTGTGTGACCAGTTAAGTGTGTTTCAAAAACACTTACCACTGGTCTAAATATACTCCCACTGAAGTCAGTGGGAGCCAAGGTAGGCCAATGGTGAGTGCTTTTAAAATCCCAGTTTATGAACCTAACGCTAAGTGTGCAATTATGTAATGGCATGTTCAAAACAGGTGGTTATATATGCAAATAGTTATTAAATTACCACTGCTGTGTGCACATATATGATTTATATGCTCACCTGTGGTAAATGCCTCATGAACTGATGTATGCACAAATTGCACATTTTTGAGCATGTAGACCTTGGACCACAAGTTTTCAAATTTTGGTCCTTTCAGTCTACAGTAGTATAGATTATATCATTTAAAAATATAGCATACATGGCCATATTTCCAAATGGTAATGGCTACATTGCAATTGCAAAGCTTGAATGTAACCCCATTTTACACACACATTCAGGAGCGAAGCATACAATGGATGTGAGCACAAATATTAAGGCATCAGTTTTAAGTCTGACTGTAAATTTGACACACAATACATACAGTAAATTGTGTTGCAGTATATGTTTACAAGTATAGTGCAAATATAGATTTTGCACAACTTTTCTTCTATACGTACATGAGGTATGTGAAATGTTGCATAAGCTTCATGATGTAGAGCATATAGTTTCTGTATATAACTTCTGGGCAGTGTTCCCTCTAATTTTTCCCATGCATATGCAGAATGAATTTTTGTTATTTGCAACAATATGGAGGTGATGTGTGACACGTGTGACACATCACCTCCATATTAGTGCACATAACAAAATTCATGTGGTGGGGGTGGGGCCGAGGAGTTTGGAGTGTGGGATGGGGGCTCAGTGCTGGGACAGAGGATTGCGGTGCAGTGGGTGAGGGCTCCAGGGTGGGGCTGGGGCTAAGGGGCTCAGGGCTGGGGCAGAGGGTTGGGGTGAGGAGGGGGAAGGTGGAAGGCCTCCGGCTGGGGGTGCAGGCTCTGGGGTGGGGCTGGGGATGAGGGGTTTGGGGTGCAGGCTGCTTGGGGGCTGCGGCGGGGAGAGAGGACTCCCCCAAGCTCTCTCTCCCTGCAGCAGCACCTGAGCTGGGGGTGGGAGGGGAGGCACCTCTCCCACAACCATGGCAGGTCTGTGCCGGGGCTCGGTTGGGGCCAGGGCGCCTCTCCCCCAGCCACCGCAAGTCCGGGGCTGGTCCATGCTGGGGGAGAGGCACCTCTTCCCACCGCAGCCCTAAGCCCCTGCATGGGGCTTAATAGGCAGCTGCGCAGCTTAGAGGGAATTTAGCTTCTGGGTGCCCCAATATGAATGAAAGCTTTAATGGGACACCCTAAGTCTAGAGAGAATTATGATGATGCCAGATGTTTATTTTTATTTGTACACCAGGATAATGTGCCCTCACATACCCAAAAACTGTTGATGATGTTGACTTTGGGCAATTACAGTTTGCTCAACAGATGTGCCTGTCTGCTGACCACTTCCTGTGAAACCATCTGCAACGCCATCCACTTTCTGCATAGGCTTGTACCTAAAAAATATTGGACACAAAATTAGACAAAATTATCCTTTTATTCAACTCCTCAAAAGTCCACTGTTACACAGTATGATTCTGTCCACTTCAGTTGCTCTGTCCTTAAATAGGATTTCTCCATCTCACAAAAATCTCAATATATAAAAGTTCTTTTCAACTAGATTCTGTGGTTGCTCTCTTCCTCTCAGGAATTAATTCAAATTTAAATTTGGCTGGGGACACTGATTCACTAAAATTATGTTCCGATTGGCCAGCTGGTTGGTCTAGCTGAACTGTGTTCACTGAACAAGGAAGTTGTTCAATATTTCTCTTAATACTTATAATTCAATTTGTGGCTCTCTTACCTTATTTACTATACCATATCCAAACCCTGCAATGAATATGGAATTAATACGTGCCTCATAAGCGTTTCTATGGCTCATCACTATACTATTTGGGCCCAACATACATTAAATAATTTATTTCCTCAATACCCCATGTGGTAGTGAGGGCTTTCTCAGACAGAGACCGAGGCAGGGAGATTAAGGCCAAAATGTGCAAAAATATCAAGGTGGGTAACGTAATCTCTTTTATTGGGCGAGGTAGTATCTGCTGGTGAGAGAGACAAGTTTTTGAGCTACACAAAGCTCTTCTTCAGGTATATTCTGAACTGAATTAATATCTTGGGACTGACATGGCTACAATTACACTACATACAAAAATATCAACTAATTCTGGGTACCTTAATGATCGGCTGCCTAAACTGAGACACCTTAGGCCTGATTTTTTAGAGTCCTTAGCAATTTTATATTTAAAGGACTGTGCAGATATTAACTAATCAATCATCTGAACACCCCATGAAGTAGCTGGGTAAGCATCTTACAGATAGAGAAACAGAAACACAGTAAATCAAACTCAGGAATTTCCTGATGCCCAACCCTATGCTCAGCTCATTCCTTCTGACCATACAACTTTTCTGCAAGAGAGATTGCGCCTCAAATGCTCTGAGTGAATTCAACTGCAATTGTGAGCACTCAGCTCTTCTGAAAACAGGCTCCAGGTGTCTAAAACTGAGCACCCAGAATACGAGGAACACACAATTAATGGTCACCTGTGAAAAGTATGGTTTAAGTTAGTTGCCCTGCATCACATAGGAAGTCTATGGCAGAGTCTGGGATAGAATCCAGTTCTCCAGGATGGCATTTAACTCCTTTAGCTATGATACAATCCTTTTTCTTCCTGCAATCCCCTGTTTCATTCACCACACACCTTCCAACTTCTGCAACAAATAAAGCAGGGAACCTACAAACAACAGCCTCACTCGTTGCACACCCTGGATTCATTCTCTGAACACCAAACATCTTGTGCATTGAATGAGACAGAGAGTCTGTGGAAAAAAAATAGTATGTGATCCTGTAATTAAAGCCTATATAAATAATGTACATAAACAAGGAGGCAGAATTAATATTGCATGGATAATCTTAATTTTTGCATTTCCTAATGTTCAGGCCTTTGCAATCATACCATTCTTTCAATGTAGTTTTTTTGTAGGTAATTTGCTAGGATTTTTTTTAAAAGAAAATTAATTCTGTTATGTGCAAATGTTATGACCTCCCTGTTATCAGCAGGATTTGACTTCTGGATATTCAACACTATGGCACCTATACCACTAAATTGAAAGGATTAACTATAATAGCTGGCAGCAGAAATAGATTGTTCTCCATTGTGCACCAGCCACTTGATGATGGGTAACAAACTCAAATAGTGGATTACAAATTCATGAGTCGGTCCATTTGAAACACTGTATAGTTGAGTGCTTAGATTTGACTGATTCCTTCTAAAGCAGCCTGGCTAAATGGCTGAGAGTTGGGTTGTATTTCCAGCTTGTATAACTCCTCACTGGGGTAGAAGGCCTTGCTCAAGAATAAGGGTGGCAAAAGACACAGAACTATTAACTACTAGTCAGTAAAAGAAGTGAGACTTCAATTCAGGGTCTCCTGGTTCGCAGAGGGAGGATCTGTGTTGACTGTGTCCTGTCAAGAAGTGCACTATTTGTGGCATAATTAAGTAAGGCAGTGCATACAGTGTTGGGGATGTTCAGGATTTTTACTCCAAGCCAGGAACAAGCTGTTGTGAGAAAAACACAGATGGAAAATGGTGATTTTGAAAAATTCGTAACTCAACCAAATATGTTTGGATTTATATGGACACTTTGTCTTTGTGGAGCTTAGCTGGAAGTTTTGCAACTAGAGGGAAACGGAAACAAGGTAAACCTGAATATCCTCCACGGAAAGGGAAAGGTGTTAACCTCCTCTGAGGTCTGAATTTTTCCTCTGCAGAACAACAGAAACTGTGTAGGTTTCAGAAGAGTGGCAGAATTCTAGCCTGGGTTTGCTTCATTTGAGGAAAAAACGGTTATCCTACCTTTTTGTAACTGTTGTTCTTTGAGATGTGTTGCTTATGTCTATTCCATTGTAGGTGTGCACATGCCCATGTGTGCGGTCGTCGGAGATTTTTGCTGTAGTGGTATCCAGAGGGTCAGCAGTGGCACCCCCTTGAGTGCCGCACCTATGTGTCAGTATATCAGATGCTGCTGACCCTACGCTCTCTCAGTTCCTTCTTGCTAGCAACTCCGACAAAGGGGCAAGAGGGCGGGTAATGGAATGGACATGAGGAAAACATCTCAAAGAACAACAGTTACGAAAAGATAGGTAACCATTTGTTCTTCTTCGAGTGCTTGCTCATGTCGATTCCATTCTAGGTGTCTCACAAGCAGTGCCAATGGAGATGGGCTTGGAGTTCACAGTCTTGCAGCACTGGTCTGCCGAAGCCAGCATCGTCCTGGGCCTGCTGCGTAAGCGCATAGTGGGACATGAACGTGTGGACAGACGACCAGGTATCAGCTCTACAAATCTCTTGGATCGGCACCTGAGCCATGAGTGCACCTTGACTATCGCCAGTGGAGGCACACTTGCCAGCTTGTAGCAGTATCGGATGCAGGCTGTCATCCAGGATGAAATACTTTGAGCAGACACTACGCAACTTTTCATCCTGTCTGCCACAGCAACAAACAGCTGTGCTGACTTGCAAAACAGCCTTGTCCTATCAATATAAAAGGCCAGCATCCTCCTGACATCCAGGGTGTGTAACCTGTGTTCTTCGGATTTATGGGGCTTTGGAAAGAAGACTAGTAAGTCTATGTCCTGGCCGGTATGAAACTGGGAAACTACCTTGGGCAGGAACATCGGGTGTGGCCACAACTGCACCTTATCTTTGTAGAATACAGTATAGGGCAGTTCTGAAGAAAGTGCCTTGATCTCAGACACCCTGCGGGCAGACGTAACCACCACCAGGAACAAAAACTTCTAGGGGAGAAGGAGAAGAGAGCGGGAAGCCAGAGGTATGAAGAGAGGCCTCATGAACCTCAACAGCACAAGATTCAAATTGCAGGGAGGGACAGAGTCCTGGATATGAAGGTATAGACACTCCAGATCTTTCAAGAACTGGGCTGTCATGTCATGAGCGAAGACCGACCTGCCTTGGAACAGAGGGTGGAAGGCCAAAATAGCGGACAGGTGGACCCTGATTGATGACAGGAATAAGCCCTGAAGTTTGAGGTGCAGGAGATAATCCAGGATCACCTGCAGCGAGGCCCGCTCGGCCCGGATGCATCGTTCCAAATCCCAGCACGTGAATCTTTTCCACTTGGCCAGGTAAGTAGCTCTGGTGGAGGGCTTTCTGCTACCTAGCAAGACCTGTTGCACCTGGACTGAGCATTCCCACTCTTCTGCATTCAGTCTTGCAGTAGCCATGCCGATAAGTGCAACGCATCCAGGTTCGGGTGCAGAAGCCTGCCATGGTCCTGGGATAGCAGGTCTGGCCAGAGAGGGAGCCACAGCAGGGCGGCTACTGAAAGGTCCATCAGCGTGCCGAACCAGTGCTGATGAGGCTACTCGGGGGCTATCAAGCTAACCTCCACCCTGTCCTGTTTGATCTTCACGAGGAATCTGTGGATCAATGGCACTGGCGGAAAGGCATACATCTGGGCCCCCAACCATGGGAGCAGGAAAGCATCTGACAGGGAACCCCTGTCCATCACCTGGAGTGAACAGAACACGTGGCATTTCCTGTTCTGATGGGACGTAAACAAGTCCACCTGGAGAGTTCCCAACTTTTGGAAGATCATACTGGCCGCCTCCATATGGAGTGACCACTCATGGCGAGACAAGAAGATCTTGCTGAGGCAATCTGCTAGCACATTTCTGGTCTCGGGCAGGTGCGTGGCTACCAGATGAATGACATGCCGCATACATAAGTCCCAAAGGCTAAGAGCTTCTTGGCAAAGGGCCGACTACCTGGCGCCGCCCTGCCTGTTGATGTAATACATCGCGGCGGTATTGTCCTTGCGGACCTGCAGCACCTTGCTGCTCAGGTGGGGCAAGAAAGCCTGACAGGCTAGGTGAACCACTTTTAGCTCCCTGACATTGATATGAAGGGCCATGAAGGGAACTCCCTCCAACTGCAGGCAGGTGTGAGCCGTGGTGTGTGGGTGGCTCTTCACATGGTAGATCAGGTCTGACATAGTCTGAAAACGAACCTTTGGAAGGAAGGTTCTGGCTCGTGTGGAGTTGAGAACTGCCCTGATTAACTCTATTTGTTGGATTGGCCTTAAGATGGATTTTTGATAATTTATTAACAGGCTCAGATCGTGGCAGTTGGAACACACCAGACTGAGGCTCCTCTGTACTTGTTCCCGAGACCTGCACTTGATGAGCCAGTCATTGAGATACATGAAGACCTGGACCCCTTGACGTCTCAGGTAAGCAGCCACTGGCGCCATTCATTTTTTGAAAACCCTTGGAGCTGATGAGAGGCCAAAGAGAAGCACCATAAATTGGAAACGGAGGAAACGTCTGTGACCTTGGAATATGGAAATAAGCATCCTTTAAGTCGAGGGTGGCATACCAGTTTCCCAGATCCAGGGAAGTGACGATGGAGGCCAGGGAGATCATGGGAAA